TGAATAATCTAGCTATATGAGAAGAAATCATTTGTTTGGAACAAGACAATAAATGATCCATTTTTTAAAACCTATGAACTACTATAAAAATTTGTCACGGTCTTAAGCCACCTTGAGTAATCTTATCAATAAAAACTCTTAAGGCTTTAAGCAATGCAAGGTACGGTATTTTCTAGATCTCCATATGGTAGGTTTTTTTCTTTTTTTCTTTTTAGGGAAAACACACAGAAAGCCTACGCGTTAATATAAAACATAAATTGTAAGGTCCTTAAAGGGAACCTTCAGCTCACTAATGCTCAAAAGAGCTACAAAAAAATTCAAAAGAAAACTTAAGAGCCGATGGTTCCCTATTCTACCAATTAAAAAAGCTTCTAATAACATTCTAGGTCTGCTAGAGGACATAACCCAAAAAAGGAAGGAAAAAGACAGTAAGTTCAGTGCCATCTTCCTTTCAAAATTAGTCATCCTGCTCCCAAAATTCTCAAACTCTTCAATCTGCAAAATAATCAAACTGCAAAACCAAAGCAAATGAACCAAGAAAAAAACATGTTTATGACTAATCAAAATGAACTACCAAAGGATATCATCCACCTAAAGCCTACCCTCCTTAGAGATCATCAAGTAAAGAGCCTTGTTATAAATGTCAGTAGAATGCAAGATACTAATGAAGCAGGAATAAGTAATAACTGAATACAAACAAACTGATAACAATAAAAGATGAGAATATAATATTTTGTGCTTATCAGTGTGAATCCCATGAATGACCTTCCAGAATGACAAATAACTCACCAGACAGCCGTTTAAATGAACATCATGAAAACATCATTGAGCCGAACCTGTCACTTATAATCGAAATATAAAACCATAATAATACTCAAGTGAAACATCCCTACAATAATTTTCTTGCTCCCAGCTTGGTAACTTTAGCTCATATATAATCGAAATAACCTGCAACAGCATTTCCTTCTCTATATGGTAACTTTAGCTCATTTATAAGTTAAGTATTTAGACATGAAATTTTTAACATTTAATTTTTAGTAACAGACAATAAAATATATTTTATATCAAATATATAATTTTATAATTCCTAAAATGACCAACTATTCTTTCATAATATCATTCGGTGATGAGAAAATTTCTAAGAGAAGTCTTAAGAATATAAAGTTGTTTTTCCTTACATAAATATCTAATCATAATTGAGAATGTTCCTTGTAAAGTTAGAGGTTTATCAAAGTACTCAAGATAAAGAAAGTGTACTTGGTATTCTTCTATAATTTGATCAAATCCTAAGATCCTTAGTTCTAAGAAAGAATTTATTAAGTTAACCCTTAAATTAGGCATTTACAAGTTTATTATGTATTTCAGGTTTATATTTGAGAATGATGGAGTAGTACTATAAATATTAACTTGATTTTATCAATATTAAACATAGTGTTCTTCTTATTAGCAAGAATATGAAAATATTTAGTGTTTCTCTCACTCTCAAAGATATGTTTGGAGCTAGCCTTTTAATGCCAAAACTCCTCTTCAACAAGTTGAAGATCAGTAAGAAGATTTTTAGTATTAATTAATAGGGTTTTATTAGCCTTAGAAGAATTAGAAATATAACTATTCTCCAATAAAATGACATATTTTTCAGCTATAAGGATATTATTAAAAATATTGTCAAAACATTTTTATTCCACAATCTAATCACTTGTTTGAGATGCTTGATTTTCAAGGAGAATCTGATCATATCATTAGAACCCTTGCAATATGTTATAGAAGCTAACCAATTATTTTCAACCGCCTTAAAAAATATAGGAGATTGCAGCCACATATTTTTAAAATGAAAATGAGTAAAAAAAAGCTTATTTCTTTGCTTAATACCTATAAGCAAATGAGCATGAATAGAAGCTGATCTACTAAGGTGTTCCACAGAGGTATTATAGAAGAGAGAAATCCAATCATTATTAAATAAAACCCTATCAAGCCTCACCTAAAGCTTGTAATTAGTCCAAGTAAACTTACGACCAACGAACCCAATATCAGTGAGTCCACAATCCAAGATCAATGCAACCTACAGAGAGTACTAGTATGAAAACATGAAATAATATTTCTCACACTCCTGATATTCCAAATAATAGAACTTATCATAAACAAATAGAATTGGAAAGAGCTTTTGGATCTAGTGAATCTAGACTATGAAGATAAATTATATTGGTTATCCTTGATATGTTTGTTCATCTTTTCATTTTTCTTTTTATTTCATACTAGCTTAAAATCTTCCAACGATCCATGGATTGAATTAACGTTGGATTCTTTATTTTGCATAGAATTCAATTCCATATCCGAATGAATATCCCCATCTTCCCAAATGGAAGTAGAATTAGCGAGGCTTTCTTCATAAGAAGTAACATAGTGATCAATGAATTTTAAGTTAGGACAAATATTGTTACCAGATGAAGGACAAGTAAGACTAGTATTAACATATATATTCTTTCCTTTCTCAGTTAAGATAGAAATAGAATTAGTAGGGAAAGCATGAAAAGGTTCAGAAGAAATTTCAGCATTAATGACATGATCATCCGTTCTGTTTAATTCTCCAACCTCTCGATGTTTCCATCAGATATAGCAGGAATGCAAATCATAGGGTCAATCCCCTCATAATATTCCTTAGATATATTTAACTTCATTCAAACCAAATTATCGACCACAATAGGAATGATTAGAGGATGTAAATAAACACACACATATATATACATCAATAGATTTACATTGATCACAAAATTTCGAGAAATCATTCATAACAACCTTCTGAATATACCCATGTTTTTCCAGGCCAAGCCAAACTGAGTCAAGGTATTTTTGGCAATGTCTAATTCAACAAGAATACAAGCCACTAAAGGCCTCGAACAAATGGTTGTGGTGTTATTTGTTTGAAGAGGACGGCCAAAAAATGAACCCAGGCCATGTAAAATATAATGTGAATAAATGGGGAAGAAGATATGAAAATAAAATCCAAACATAAATGATTAGAGATTCCTCTGAAATACCAAAAAAAGGCGGTCATTTATCAACTTCATAAAGCAGTTATTAACATAATACGATCAATGACTAAAAACCCTACTATAATCCATATCGTTTAAAATATTGATAAACATATGCCTCTGGTCCAATAGAGTGGCCGAAAATTCACCCAAAAGCTTCTACTTGAATAAACAAATACGAATTTTATCTAAACAGGCCTACGAAAAAGGAACTTTCCAATTAGAGCGAACTCAAAAGGAACAACAGGTGCTTGGTCTTCTTCCTTAGAAATCCAAAGAGCAGTTAACCATAATGAGTAGTAGCTTTAAAAATCTGGAAAATCAATCTAAGAGGGAAATCCAACCAATACATCCTTAAAGGATTTCGATTGATTTTTACAAGCTACAAAACCAGGATCACTCTTGAGAGAAACATTCGCTATTCTAGATTAAAATGCTTCCAACGGAAACATCTACACATGATTCAAAAACCGAACCAAGTAGAAGAAAGAAAAACCACACATACAAAAGGGAAAATTGCAGAAAGGAATAGGTTAGATGAACTTCCCTCAGCCAGAAGATGAAAACGATGCACTCCGTTTGCAAGAAGCCTCCGTTTTTTTTTTTAATATATAAAAAAAAATGTTGTGTAGACTTAGAGAATGATATGATATAATCATATAATCATGCGCTACGCAAAATTCACAAAACCTCCAACAATGGTCGAAACAAAAGCTAATAGAGGAAGAGGAAAGACTCGCCATAGTCCTGAAGCCAAAAACATTACAGCTCTGAATATAATGCCAAGAAAACTCTTGGACTTTCAAAAACGAAGATTCTTATTCAATCCACATACGTAGCAATTTCAAAAGAGATGTTTTCACAAACAAAACCAGTCTTCTCATAAGATCAAATACCAAATTATGAGATCTGTACAGGTTCCCGCAATCCGTCCAGCCATAAACTTCTTGTTTTACGACCTTTTCAATCTAGAGATGATGAAGGAGAAGCTCTCAAAAGCACTTCTAAAACCTGAGCCATTCCACACATTTGACGTTTGATCATAAAACGCTTCTAAGAAAGTAGGAAAAATCAGATCTTTATGACCATTCCAACAAATAAAGTCACAATCCCCATGAAATGGTTTCACACTAATAAAAACATCCGTGAAAGAGCATGTAATGACATTCTCCAAATGCTAGCCAACATCATCAATAAAAACCTCTAAGAAAGAGTAACAGATCAAGTAAATAAAACTAACTCGCCAAAAAGATCCATAAGGGGGTTGCCATTAATCTAAGGACCCCAAAAACAGAAGAAAGTCGCATCGATTACTGATACTGTAAGATAAAAACAATTTGAAATTATAAGCAATAACAAATAATTTTCTCCAAACGGGGATCCTCGAGAAGAGAAAAGCTGCATATATAAAAGCACTTAGAAGAACACTATTTCCAAAGAGATTCTCAAAGATTAATACTCTTCATAAGTTTAAATCTATAAGCATAGTACATGGTAGCTAAAAAGGGAAGAACTAGATCACCTTTGGCCTTGGGTTTACATGCGTTGATCCACTACACAAGGTGAAGCTTCTTAGTTTTAGAATTGTAGAGAAATTTGGCATATAAATTATTGATCTACTATTGGTCAGCTTTAGGAATATTAAATGCCCGAATCCAGTAGGATTGGAAAAATATTTTCAATGCGATTTTGCTTCAAACTCTATCAGCTAAAATTGCCACTCATCTTTCACTGTAATGCTTTTCTGCTTAATATATATTACTGGGTTGAAAATTTTTCCTTCTCTATCGCCCCTAACCTCCAAACCAAAATAATACAATTGCTAGTTCAAAACATCTCTGTTACTATCAAGAACAATCCAACTTGTTATATCAGAAAAGCACCAAAATTCAATAGAAAAACAACAAGCTATGAGAGAATCAAATTCCCTCGTTTCTTTACAAACTAAAAGAAAAAAAAAAAACTCAAATCTCAGATCTTCTCCTTGTAGCCGTAATGTCTTTTAAAAACCCTGGGCAAATAAATAGGCAGAAGAAATCCAAAAATATTAAACGCCCAGAATAACAGATTAACCACCGCCAAGCCCCTGCCGGCAAGAAACTTCAGCGCCGACCACTCTTCCACGCCGGTGGCCGCTTCCTTTCCCATCTCAACCATCACCCAATCGATGAGCGTGAACATCCTCATCGCGTTGTAGGAAACCGGCACAAAAGCTCGGATGGGCAGCGAGAACTGCGGCGAAAACGTCACACCTTCCAAGAACACCTGGCATGTGAGCTGGAACAAGTGCGGCACGGCGGCCTTTATCCCCTCCTTGTCTCCCTCCATTACGCCCTGAAGGATGTAGACGATAGGAAGGAAAAGACCGATGATGGCGGCGATGATCATATAGACGGTGAGGAGGCGGTTGCCAGCACCGAAGACAGGGGGTTCGGGAGAATGGGAGGGGCGGACAGGGGGAAAGGCGAAGCGTGAGAGGAAGATGATGTAGGGAAATGAGAGAAGTGCGATGGCGATGTCGGCGGCCGAGACCATGCCGGAGGCGGCGAGGACGATGGAGAGGGCGACGGCGTTGAGTTGCCGGAAGGATAGAAAGCGGCGGTGCGGGGTGTGGCCAGGTAGGGGGACGGTGTCGTCATCGCCATCGGAAGGAAAGGCGATGTCTTTTGCAGTCGGCCCGATTCCTCCTGACATCGATTTGATCTTTTGATTAGGATTTTACTTTCTTGAGACTGAGGAGGCAGATCGAAGAAGAAGGGGGAAGTAGTTGCAGAGAGGGCGAGGGAGTGTCACGGCGAACAGAGGACATGTGGCGGATGGAAGTTGATAACGTGGAGATAAGCGGCTGAAGTTTGACACGTGTTGTCGGCTTGTTTGTCGTTGCAAAAGCGTGGTCGCCGGAAAGCTGGAACGGATAAATGAGCACAGCTTTTTTTTTTTTTTTAATTTACAACGCTAGATGGATAGCGTTAATATCGACATTTGTGAAAATACTGCTCTGCTCGAAATTATTAGAGTAAACTATGAAAAATGAGAAGGGCAAATTTTTAAAAGGAGCAAAGTTAATAAATATATTAGGATTAGGAGCATGAAATTAATTAAATTTAAAAAGGAGCAGAAATGCTTTTTGATCAGGATATGAAAAGTCAGACCTTTTCACTACTCGTGTCAGACTTTTTTCTGCCGTCGACCGAATTTACTCGTCGGTCCTTCTAGGACGTTTGGAACTTTACCCGACGTCGGACTTCTGCTCGTCAGCGGACTCTCTACCGACTTCGGACTTCTTTGTCAGCGACTTCGATTCGTCGTCGACTTTCTAACCCTTCGACGAACTTTCGTCGGATCTTTCTACCCGACGTTTAGACTTCTCCCCAGCATCATACTTCTGCTCTCAACGCACTACTCTCTCATCACGGTTCTCGCTCAGAGAACTGCTACTTGCAAACGCACCCTCGAACTCTCTCTTCTGGCTCCAACACTACGATGTTGACTGCTAATGGGCTTCACATCACGATCGTCCATCGCCACAGTAAACTTCCGCTCAAATGAACGCATAGAAATCCCGGTAACTCCTTGGGCCGAGGAGCGGGCGCTAATTTCGAGCAGGTGAAATCTTCCGCTCAAAATCAGCAGAGCCTCAACCGCCAGAAGGCCGTGGGGAAAGGAAGAGAAAATCTGTAACTCCGTCGCGCGAGAGGGCGCTAAATTCGCAGGCAGAAATTTTCTGCTCGCAATAGCAGAAGCCTTCAACGCGCACAGAAAGGCCGTGGGGGAAAGAAAGAGAAATCGCCGTAACTCCTGCGCACAGGAAGGGGCGCTAATTCGAGCAGGGGAAATTTTCCTGCTCGCAAATAGCGGAAGCCCTTCAACCAGGCCAGAAAGCTGTGGGGGAAGAAAGAAAATCTCCGTAACTTCTGCGCACTTGAGAGGGCGCTAAAGTGTCGAGCAGGAGAAATTTCCCGCTCGCAATGCGGAAGCCCCAAACGCAGAGTAGCGTGGGGGAAGAGAAGAAATCCGGTAATCTGCGTCGCGAGGAAGGGGCGCTAATATCGAGCAGGAGGAAGTTTCCCGCTGCAAATAGCGGAAGCCTCAGCCGCCAGAGAGCCGTGGGGAATGAGAAGAATTCGTAACTCTGCGCGCGAGGAGGGGCGCTAATTCAAGCAAGGGAAGTTTCCCGCTCGCAAAATAGTGGAGAGCCTCATCGCCAGAGAGCGTGGGGAATGAAAGAAAAATCCCGTAACTCCTGGCGCGAGGAGGGGCGCTAATTCCGAGCTAAGGGGAAGTTTCCGCTCGCAAATAGCGGAAGCCTCAACCGCCAGATGACCGTGGGGGAATAAGAAAAGAAAAATGCCAGTAACTCCTGTGCGCGGAGAGGGGCGCTATATCGAGCAGTGGAAAATTCCCACTCGCAAATAAACGGAAGCCTGAAGCCGGCCAGAGAGCCCGTGGGAGGAGAAGCAGAATCCCGTAACTCCTGGCGCGAGGAGGGGAGACTTAATTCGAGCAGGGGAAGTTTCCCGCTCGCAAATAGCGGAGGGCCTCAGCCCAAGAGAGCCAGAGGAGAAAGAAAGAGAAAGAGGCAATTTTTCTAAAGTGCTTAAAGGCCTTTAATTATATTTTTGGAGTTACAGAGGGAAGTTTTCTAGAATTCCACATATTTTTTTATTTTTTTTCAGAATTTTCTGATCGAATTTTTTCATTTTTTTGGGATTATTTTTGGATTTTTTGGGGCCATATGCTCAATAAAAAAGAAAGTCAAAATTTGGAATTTTGGCCAGCACCGCCGCCAAACCGCGCGCACCAGGAGGGGTCGACTGTTCGCGTGGGGCTTGCCGGCGCCGCCGGCAAGCAGGGCGGCGGCCGGCCGACGGCGGACCGTTCGCCGTCAATGTTACCAGCGGTGCTCATTATTTTGGCGCGGACGGACCAATTTCGCGACGTTTTTAGGGTCCCCGGATATATTTTTCGACGTTCCGGCTCAATTTTAAAATTTTAGAAACTCACGGGGCCTCTTATAATCAAGTTTGGGCAAAATGTTCACACCTTTTGTGGAACTCAATTTTTTGCGATTCGGCAATGTATTAATTTGTGACGGAACAGTATTGGGTTTTCGGACTTCTTGGAGCTTTCGAGCGTACCGAAAAATAGGGGGGCACTGATACGTATGCAAAAATTATCTTGATTGAGCACGAACTCTGAGAGCAAAATCAGTTCGGAGACTTAAAAATTAATTTCGGGAGCATATGAACTCCCGAATTTCAGCGAGCTAAGTCCAACTGACGTCTCGGAAATCCAGACCCAATACACCCAAGATCAAACCCATCCAAGCCCTAAACGAGGCCCGAATCACAAAGCGCTGTTGGAGGGGTTCAACCGCAATTTGGTGTTCAAGTTTATTTACCAACTTAACCTCCTGTGTTAGATCATGAACGTTGTCTCGCACGAGGCAAAATCCAACGAGCCCAAAGATCATTGAATTCCGACATCATTAAGGCGCTTTAAATGAACCAATCGAATCGGTGCATTGATCAAAGGATCGAATATCGCCGTTATACCATTAAAACCACTCCCAATTCGCCCTGTGACACTACGGCCTATTTACGGCTATTGCCACCAAAAAAACTATAAATTAGAGCTCTCATTCTACCAGGGGACGTCAAGTGAAGAGAGAGAAGAAAGAAGAGAGAGAAAAGGGGAAAAGGGAGATTCTCACCTCCTCGCACCACCGCCGGAGCTCGTTCCTGCCGTCTGAAGACGACCGGACTCTGTCGGGTTTTCAGGAAAATGCCAGGAATTTCTGTAAAACTTCCACGTAGATGCTGAAATCCTCCATAACCAACACAGATTCCTTCCTGAATCCTGAAACTCCTCCCAAGTGAAGCCGAGTTCTCACTCTGCCACCAGATAAGACGTCAGACTTCTACCCGACGTCGGAACCTTCACTCTTCGCCAAGTTTCTACCCGACGCCGGACTTCTAAACCGTTATCGGATTCGTAGGTGTCTATGTCGAAGATGCATTTCTATTCCATGCTGGACTTTCTACCTACACTGTCCTACTGATCTTGCATCGTCCAGACTACAGTACCCTTC